CAGTTTCCTAATATAATATTCCAATTCTGCTTGAAGTCTCATCCATATATGCCTACCCCTTTTCCATAAGACCTGTGGTTAAACCACTTGCATTCAAATTGTCTAGAACTGACTGGCAAATATGTAGGCTGGTTTGCTTGAATTTTCTTGCATTATCAGTGATTACTTGGGATACAAGCTGCTTAGTATTTGCAGAAAGATCAGCCAGCATGCCATATAGTGTTCCTCCAAATCACAATTTCTTGTTGGAGCTCAGTCGCTTCTGTAGATTTGCCAATATATTGTTCACATGGTTTTTCAGGGGTGTAATTTCATGTCAACCATCCCAGGTTACAACAATTAAATGATATCATAGCCATGTTGAGCTTTATGGTATACTTCAATTCATCTGATACAACTTTAACTGTATAGCATTGAGCACTGGGCACTGCTGGAAGCAGGATATTAAAGTTGATGGACAAATGCATTGATAGGGTATGGCAAATGCTATCTTCTCTTAACTATACAATTCTGAAGTTCAAGATATTTTGGTAGACTTGGCTGAAAAAACATTTTTAAAGCCCCTAGTCATCTTTAAACTTGCAATAAAACACATTTTCCCTAAGTAAGTCACTGTATTTAAGTGGCTGTTGCAAAGGAACAAATTAATATCTGAAGTATCTGTTGTACTGCAATGCTTTCCAAAAATGTAATTTCTCCCCATAATTTTCTGTTACTGCTCTAAAAAGTAAAAGAAATGAGTGTTGCATTATATCATTTCTTCCCATTATTATATATATTATTCATGGCATGTATGCTCACACACTTCCATCCTCCAAATGTGAAAATGGTGGATGGCTTAAATGGTGAGAGTCTGGAGGTTTTTTTTAACTGTTACAGTACTTATTTGTATTCGCGAAGGCTTTCACGGCTGGGAACTAATGGTTGTTGTGGGTTTTTCGGGCTCTTTGGCCGTGTTCTGAAGGTTTTTCTCCCTAATGTTTCACCAGTCTCTGTGGCTGGCATCTTCAGAGGACAGTCAATTTTCTTGTATTCATATGTTGGTGTTTAGAAGGCACTGGCCCATGTAGTGACTGATTGAACATATTGTTCTTAATTATGGCAAAATAAAACATGTTATTTAGTAACTTGATGTTATCTGTGTATTAATTTAGATGGCTATTAAGATACAAATGACTGACTCAAAGAGAAACATTATTTCAGATTTGCAGCTTGCAATTCTACGGTTACAGCAAATGGCAGCAATTTTTCTTATAAGAATTGCTACAGATATATAGTGTAAGGCAGTGATGGTGAACCTTTTTGAGCCCAAACTGCAACACAAAATCAACTTATTTATTTCAAAGTGCCAATACTGCAATTAAAACCTGAATGCTGAGGTTTTAGTTTAGAAAAAACAA